TTTAGTGTTTTGGACTCGGTTAGCTGTGTGCCAAATCCCATTCCATCCTAGGCCTGGGGGACTGCTTTGTAGGTTGTACTAAGGCAAAGAAGAGTTGGTTCTGGTGATGGAACATCTCACAGCATAGTATAACCCCTCACTGAGAAGGGAGCTCTGCTATCAGAATTCATGAAAATGACCCAGAATAGTTTAGAATATTAGGGACCACCATGACAGAAATTAATTAGGAGGGGCATGATAGAAGGTTTTTATGAAATGACGTGGAATCAAGGGATTCCTGAATTTAAAACTTAATGGACCAGCCTCATAAGACAATGAGTCAAGTTGTTTCACCTCTGGAAAGGGAAGCTTCAGGAACTTGGAGAATGGAAATGCTTTCAAATTTTCCTTTTGTGGATGCTGGTGTCTAAATGTAGGAAGCCCAACTACAGGACACTGAAAAGCAAGATGTTAACTTGGCCTGCAACAAACACAAAGAGGACAGAGGGTGGAGTATGGGCTGAGAAGAATCCAGCATGAGGTTTTAGCAGGGTTCCCTCAAGAATGTATACAGGCAGCTAGGGGAATGCTGTCTTCAAAGGAGAGCTAAGTTTACTGGCAGCTGTATAGCACTGGTCATCTGGCCGAGGGTATGTTTTCATAAAGGAAGTATAATTGAATACCCGAGTCCTAATTGAATAGGTATGATGTGGCAAAATGGACAGACCTCCAAGGGGTCAGGATCAGAATCACTATGATCTTTGAGGACAAATCCATGCCGATACACACAGCTGAGTCGTTTTCCTGGGAGCATACTCAGCCCCACCTGGCCCTTTCTTGAACCAAAGAAGGCAGTCAAGTCTGAATCTTAAAATGGACAGTACAGCTTTATTCTAGACTGTAAGTGTAATGACTGAATTCACTGACTTAGCTCTTTGGCTCTGGTTAAGGAGATCTGGGGAGCAAGGACAGGGGAAAGGATAACTCCAGCCTAACAGACAACAAAAGAATGAGACCAGGTGACTGTCTGTACGTGTGTGGGTGCTTCTGCAGTTGTCACAGGGGTTAAAGTCCAAATACCAAACCCAAGATGTTTGTGAAATGCCTGACCATGGGAGAAAGAGTTCTCCAACCAGAGTTTGAATCCCTTCTCTCCTTCCTTCCCGACTCTCACTATGACTTCCCACTCAAGCCTTCCCTTTCTGTGATAGGATAAGGGGGTCATCGCCCTCTAGCTGTGGCTCCAGCCCATTGAACATCACAAGCACACCTCCCCCTGATGCATCTTCCCCAGGAGGCAAGAAGGTAAGACTTCTGAATTCTACTACCCACTGTGGTCCCCACCTCCCTAAACCTGAGGTCACTGAACAATACAAGAACAGCTTTCTAAAGAAGAACTGGAATTATTTTGATTCTTTAATTAGCACTGTAAGACTTTATATGCATATGTGCTCACGTATATTCACATAAGCAGACATCCATACACATGCATGTATTTGCCTATGTAAATCATTTTATGTGTCAGATATAAAATCGTACATACGTGCATGTTCACAGTGGTATATGTACACCTACAGCTGTGGGGCTGTATATTCCTAATGGCCTATTTGGAATGTCTGTTCTTCCTGGGTTTGGAAGGATGAAATTTATATTACTGTACTTTGTGGGGAAATGAGATTACTAGTTGTTCAACTGCTTGAAGACAGTGACCAGTCCTATGCCTACCCTCTCCCCTCCAGCCTCAAGTCTTGTCTACCCCAGGCTAAACAGACCCAGTTCCTTCACTATTCTAGGAGGGCACAGAAGCCAAGCTGAAGATTGTGACACACTGATCAGCTCTTACCAAGAGTTCTCCTCCATCTGAAGGGCTATTTCCCCCTGCTTTGTATATTGTTTTCTGAGCATATATCCATTCATCTATTGGCACATTTGTCCAAGAAAAGGGTTCAAAAACAGTCCAAAAGTAGCACCTCCAGAGTGTATGTGGGAGTTGGCCACCCACAGCATAAGCCATATGGGCTGTTCCCTCTTGTCCCCAATGAATCTACATGCCCACCACCCTATGCTAGGAAACAGGCGGAGTTTGCAGTAAGTAACACAGACCACAGCCTGCGCAGAACACAAGTGTTATGGGGCCAGGTGTCATGGAGAGCCAGAATGGGGGTTGGGAGGGACATCAGGCTTACTGAACATCTGGAAAAGGATCAGACTACACCTGACAGGTGAGGTCTTCTGAGCTCTGCCTCCATCTCTCAAGGCCACCCATTTGATTTTTGAGTATCTCTAATTGTTAAGAAAGACTTTCTTCTTGGTAACTTAGACCTGTGGCTCCCAACTCTACAAGCTGGGGTCAAGCAGGACAAGTCTAACCATGCCACCTTGACAGGCACTCCACTGCTTTTAAGACAAGTATCATTCCTGTACCTACCTCCATCCCTCCACCCCCACATCTTCTCTACTCCACGTTAAACAGACCCATTTCTTTCACCATATTCTGCCATGGCATAGACTCAAGGTCCTTTACTCTGTAATCATTCTAGTCACCTTCCTCTGGACATTTTCTCCTTCGTATATTGTCTGACCATAGCCGTATCCAAGGATGTAGTTCATCATATTTCCTTATTTATTGTGGCTCTCAACTCCCTATTATCCTATTTTTTTGGCCTGTCCTTGTCAGCCACATGCAGAGGCCACCAGGGTGGGCCTGTTGACTTTTAGAGGTCAAGACTGGGCATTAAGCAGTAAGTTCTAAGGTACTGTTAATACTCCAGGGAGAGTTCTTCACCATGGACTGATGGTCCTGAACCAAATGAACAGAGAACAATTTTAGGAGTGACGACTTCCCCCCACTAACTTTTGTAACATTTTTTTTAAAATGAGAAATTTTCCAGGTTAAGGCTATTTCAAATGGCCTCTTTTTATTTCTTAGTGCTCATTCTGCTTGTATAAGTTTTGAGTTTAAATAATGAAAACTCCAATGCTTTTCTCTGTTTGATAGATTTTAAATGGAGGAACTCCAGACATTCCTTCTGCTGGACTCCTACCAGGGCAAATCCAAGATAACCCTGGCTATCCATATTCCGACAGTTCCTCTATTCTTGGTAAGTAGCACTGATATAAATCTTTTCAAAAAACCTGGCAAATATAGTAAGTTTTTGTTTTAATGATATTGAATTTTTATACAAGTCAGCTTTGCCTCCCTGAAGGTGTGTCCCCATTCCCCTGTCCCAGATCCCACCACCCCAAATTTTAGCAGCAAGTCAGGTTAGTACAAGTAGCAAGTTAGTAAGCTAGTATAGTTTACAATGTGGGCTACGACTTTAAGAGGGGAATTTGAAGTTTTGGGGACAAAAGTAATGGCTGAAGAGTTATAAACAATAGTCGCCTAACTTCTATTTAAAAAAGAACCTATAGAGCTTTTCTCCCTAATCTTCCTATTTACCTTTCCTTTTATAAATCAGTCCGCCCTTTTTTCGTTCTCCTTTGTAACAGACCCTTCCCCCTTTTAATTAATATGGAATTGAATTATATTTTAAATGTTTCTGATACCCACAAAATTTAGTTGTGTTCTTAAATCTAAAAATTTGGTGATTTTAATTTTATCCTTCTCCTAAAATCTTAATAGAAAAAAGGGCCCCCACTTCTGCAATAAATAGAAAGATTTGCTTAAAACACTGAGCTGAGAATACCAAAAGTTTGATGTAGGAATTATACAAGATAAAATTAAAATCACAGGAAGTAATTTTGATTACTAATAAGTTTGTTTTCTATTTAGGTGAGAACCCCCATGTTGGTATAGACATGATTGATAACGACCAAGGTTCCAGCAGCCCCAGTAATGACGAAGCAGCCATGGCAGTCATCATGAGCCTCTTGGAAGCAGACGCTGGTCTTGGTGGCCCCGTGGACTTCAGTGACTTACCTTGGCCACTTTAAACATTACTGTATAGTTGCTTCAGCAACATCTGCAGTATCAAAGTGCATTATTGGTGGAGTTTGACCGTCTGTGAAGCTTCTTGGATAAAGAGATAATAGCTTTTATGTTCAAACTTCATAAAAGCCATCTCAAAGCCATTGATACAAGTCAATCCTACTATGTGTAACTTAAGACAAAGTGGAACTAAAACCGCTACAGTGTTTCTGCATCATTGATTATTGAGCTAGCTGTGAATAGCTTGCATTAATTGTATATTTTGGATTCTGTTCGTGTTGAATTTTTAAATCATTGTGCACAGAAGCATCATTGGTAGCTTTTATATGCAAACAGTCATTTCAGATGTATTGGTGTTTTTACACTACAAAGAGGTCCCCCATGTGGACATTTCTTATACTAATTGTATCATAAAGCTGTTTATTCTTTCTTGTAAGAATCCTTTACTATAAATATGGGTTAAAGTGTAATGTATTAGACAGTTAAATATTTTTAAAATAAATGTTTCCTTTGTTCTATAAAATACTATTTACTTTTTAAATAAGTTTTGAAAAGAACATTTCTGTCACTAACTTTAACTATCATGATGATTATCATGCTCTCCATCCCTCTTTACTTTCATGGTAAACAACTTAGTGTGCTTTCCCTTTGGCTCAGGTATTTACAGGTTATGTTTTCACTAAAATGGAACCACAATGTTGACACAGACATTAATTCTGAAAGCAAAAATGATGTATCACAGACATTTTAGCATCTATCCTTGAAATTTAAGTTCAGAATTTGATTTTTAGCATTATTTTGGTTTATGAAAATTAGTTATGGATAACAATAATCATTTTTTCCACTAGCACCCTTAGGTAATGCTAGAAGGATTGGAAATGGTGTACCCTCAATTCTAAAGCACCTAATTTTCCAGTATCCTTGGGGTTCAGGAGGCTTGTTATATGCAAGGTACCATTTGCTAGTTTGAAGGCAGTGCCATAATGTAACATGGCTGTGATGATTATTTTTAGGGGTCTGCCTTTATGCCATCCAAACAGGTATGACAGAGCAAACAATCTGCTGATTCTAAGAATTAATAATCTGGTCAGAAACATGAAAACAATGTAAGTTTATTTCAATGAAAAACTCAAGTTTACAATCATTTAGTAAACGAGAAGTGAACACTTCATTCCTATCCCATGACATTTATGAAAACACCTTGTCAGTAAATAAATATCTGTGAACAGATTAAGGGTAAGGCAGACTGGATGATAAATCACCTCTGCTGTTCACATCCCTGCATGTGACTCACACAAGATGAGTGAAAAACTGCACTGGGAAACAGACTAAACAGCTACTGAGTATCATCCTAATCACTCATGAGCCCAATGGTAAATACTTACTTTGCGCTCACTCAACGGTGAGCAGCAAAACCTACTGCATTTCCATCTTTTGCTGAAGAGGCTTTGATAGGAGCACTTGTTTAAATTTGTACTGTGCATCACAACTATAAAAAATGGCTTTAAGAATTCCATGGAACCACCATTTATAAAGTGCTACTATCAAAATCGTGTTACTGCATTTTGTCCAGGCTGTGGCCAACATCTATGGAAAAGGTGCACGAGTACCCCCTACTGCCAATCCCACCATTTCTAAATGTGAGAGAACCGTCCAGCATACAAAGAGCCAATTTCACAAACCTACTGGTAAACAAAGACATTTATATCAGTGGAACCTCAGGATGTCAAATTGATCCCTTTGGTCTTCTAAACAAAAAAAGTACATACTGCAATCTCCTAAACACTGGTGTGTGCATTTCACAATGAAGAACAGTGGCACTGCAATGCCGAAGGATAAGGGCAGCATCACTGGTGAGAGGAGCATGCTAGCATTTGTGAGACGGGCTGCCTCCATCACAGCATTGGACTCTGTCCCTCAGGATCCATCTCATTGCTGCCAGGAGGAGGAGGAATAGGTAGGATATCCAGCTCATCCACTTGGGGTGTTGGATGCATGACCACCAGCTGGTCCTGGGGAATGTCTGCGGCAGCTGCTGCTAGGTTTGTGATAGACTTACTTTTCACACATTGGAAGTCCACATGCCGACTTTTTCCTTCCTCCTTCTCCCAGGACATGCGAATAAATGGTCTTTGGACATAGTTGTAGATTACTTCTGGGCGCCCACCAGGCCTCTTCTTGACTTTCTCTTTGTAAGTGGGATACCCTAAAGGAAAAGATTTTGCACAAATTGATGAAATAACTTCTTGGAACCCCAATTTTCTTCATCTATGCTATCTGTGAATTAGACTAGAAGACTTCTAAAATCTTTTCTTGCTCTCACATTAGGGGATCTATACTGTCAACACATCAGAACAGCAGATGCATAACAAAGGAAGAAGGTTAGACATCGAGTCAGGAGACAACAAGATTCACGCATAGCCTCACACAATTTACTATAACTGCGATCATGGGAAAGACAGTAGCCTATGAGCCTCAGTTGATAATACTTGCAATAGCTACTGTCTCAAGGTTGTAGTGAGGAAGTGCTTTGCAAACCTTAAAAACCTATTAAACTAGTTGTTATCAACAGAAAATAGGAAGCATTTCTTTTTGCAAATTAGTTAAGCGTATAGTTTTACTAATAAGCAGAATGAAAAAAAAATATGGAAGTTTACATTTTACCAGTTAAATGGGGCAACTTTCAAATCCCCCGCCTTGGAAAAAGAATTCAAGAGAATGCAATTCCATCTACCCTAAAACACAGTTTCAAAAACAGATGGCTACGTCCTGAATCAAAATCCTGCCTTCCTTGCTGACGTTTTAATGTAACAGCTTCTCCCTGGTCCCTGGCTAGCCTATTTATTCAACTGGTATTTACTGAGCACCTGCATTTAAAAAAAAAAAAACAAGCCAAGGTGTCTTAGGGGTGTTTGTGATAAATGCCAAAGAATTAGGGTAGATCAGGAAAGCAAAGATGACCGTCCAGGGAGAGGTATGGAAGAGGTAATACTAAGAAAGCTTTGAGGAACAGGTAAGGATTCAGAAAGGTGGAAAGAGTATATCAGGCAGAGAAAATGATATACATAGTATAAGAGATCTAGAACAAGAAGCAACTTTGGAGAACATCTAGCCCAATCTTCTTTCTCCTGTCCTGTCCTGTCCTTTCCTGTCCACTAACCTTAGGGTGTTCTGCCCTGAGGAGGGTAAATTTTGATGGCTGAAAGTTACCCAGTGAACTTGGGGTTTCCTGGTTTCATTTCTTTCTCAAAGACTAAGTCTTAAACCCAAATCACTCTGGAGCTCATAAACTGGACAATAGGTCCCTGCCCAAGCACCTCTTAATGGTTATTTTTGGGCCCTCCAGGCACAGAGTGGAGGTATATAGTAATTTCCTCTTTTGGCCAGCAACCCTGAGGGTCTTCCCCTCCCAGGTTGATTTTTTTTTTTTTACATTAAAGGGGCCATCCCTAGACTCACTCCTTAAAAGAGGCCTAATTTACTGAATGGGTGTGTTAACTCACTAAAAGTGAGAACCTGAAAAGACCTTAGCTTAAAAGGGCCAAGGTCTCCCACTGCATCCTAGGCCATCTCCAGTCATCCAGATTGATATCATGGCTCTGGAGGAGAAGATAAGGCTAGTGACCTTGCACAGCCCTTCCTCACTCAAATCAATGTCAATTGCAAGTCATGTCATCATCTCCCTGATGTCATGGTCCTCTCCAAGAAAAAACAAACCACAAAGCCTAACCTTATTACAAAGGAGGAAAAATAGGCCCTAGGGTCACATACAGTGTCAATAGCAGGGTATGAAACCCTGATGCCAGGCTCAGGCTTCTTCCCACCATATCAAGATGCCTTCCTAGAGAGTGTCAACTCTTCAAACTATAGTTGGGGAATGCACAAGTCATGCTAAAGGAAAACTGGGGTGAGGGAGGTACACATATGGTGGGCAATGAGAGAGCCAGTTTAACTACAGCAAATGGTTTATGTTCAGGACAATGGAAGACTCATTCTTCATTGGGGTTACCATGTGGCAAAATAAAATGGAAAGGAATGTACATAAGTCATATAGGAAGACTGACAAATAAGAAGTTCCCTTTTCACTAGACTCAAGCTACCAACAAGGTTTCAAAGACTGTTTGAGGGGCACACCATTCAAAGTTTACCTGCTCCTAGCTATCACTCAAACTATCCAAAAATGTACATCACACATGACACTGGGATTGCTCTAAATAGAAACATCTACATATACACAAATCAAGAAAACCATGCGAGTTGTTTTGTTTTTATTTAAATCTCTAGGAAATTTCCCTGGGTCAGAGGTCCTACCTTTAATAAGGTATGTGTCCACTAGATGGAGCACCAAACTCTCTCAGCCCTATGAACTCTACATTAGGTCCATCTTGACCTTCACCTTGACACTTAAAAACCTGTGTGACCTTGGGCAAGTCACAACCTCTGGGCCTCAGTTTCTACAATTGTAAAATAAGGGTATTGGACAGATAGCCTCTGAGGTCCCTTCCAGCTCTAATGCCATGAGCCTAGTAAACTGTATGTAGCTACTTATATCAGGTATCAGTGATTTAAAAAAAAAATTAAAAATGGCCTATTTTGTAGTACTTACAGTAGAAAAGTAAATTAGCCAGAATTTCTCACTTATTTAAAAGTAAAAGAAAACCAATACCCAAAATACCATTTTGTCAATGCAGCAATGCTGCCTATGTTTCTCAGAACTAGAATGCCAAGAATTAACTTTACAGTCGTAGGAAACAACCCTGCAGCTCCAGGCTTACTTCCTCCACGTTCTGGATCTCTTCCTATGGTCTGTCACAGAGTCAGTGAAGCCACTACTTTGACTTCTCAGATGATAAGTGTGCTGGCTAGATCTCAGAACCTTGAAGATATTGGAAATGAAGCAATAAGAGCATAGAAACGATATGCTCAGTCCTTACAGTATCCCAGAGAGTGAAGACCCCCCTTCAACTGGTTATTCCCAATGTTATAGACCAATTCTCATCTCCTATTTTCAAGATTATCTCACGATTCAAAATAAGTATCTTCCAAGGCCAAAATCCTCTCCCCATACTCTCATTTTTATCTATCTAAGCTCAATCTCTCCAAAGTTTGTATCATCTTTGGCCTTCCCACTATGGTATAGGGAAAAGAATGTTGTATATGGAGTCAGAAAAGCTGACTACCATTTCCTATGTGTGTGATCATGAGCAAGTGACAATCTTTCTCAGCAGATGACCTCTAAGGACCTTTTCAGCGGCTCTAGATCTATGATGTCACGATCCTCTACTGTTATGCTCACTTTTATCCTACCAAGCATCTATATAGTACTTTAAGGTTTGCAAAATACTTTACATGTTCTGTAAGGTTGGTGTTCCTATCATCCTCAGTTTACAGATGAGGAAACCAAGGCTGAGAGGTTAGAAGACTTGCCTACCAGTAGACAGTTAAAGTGTATGAACTGAGATCTTCCTGACTCCAAGTCCAGTAATCTACACTCTGTTTCACAGTCTTTCCATCTTCTGGTGCTAACAAAGTTTGGCTCTTTACCACCCCAAGTATCCCTGGTTGGCCTATGCAGTACTGGGAGTTCCTCCTCTGCCCCTTGAAGCATGGGGCCAAGATGAGAAAGGCATATTCTTTGCTTCTCTCTCACTTTTAGAATGACTTTCTGCCCTCATCCCCCAGCAACCTCTCTTTTTTTGGAGATTCATTCTATCCATCTTGGTCACAGAGTCTAAATCTTTGTCTTAGTATTCTACTGACCTCCAGACCATTCCCTTTTCCTTCTCAAGGTTAATGCCTGGAACAGCTCATGGCCTCTTTTCCACCAAAACCACTGCCTTCATACTTGGAGACTGCAACATGCATCATTGATGATGGACCTTGGAATGTGCTCACCTGTGAGTTCATCAGCCTGCTAAATGCTCATGACCTCCAACTCCATGTCACCTCAGCCACAAAACAGGGATTATCATATGATGACTTTGAAAAGTAGATCCCTACCTCCGTGTTTCAAGAGCTCTGAAATGCCCATTAAGTGTAACTTTACCTTATTCTTCCTAAACTTATTTTTTTGTCCTTCCATCCCTTCTTGTTACCCAGTCCTTCAGCCCTGCTCTGAGATCTCCTTTTCTCTTCCTTCACAATTGAGCCTATATTTAATCACCTTGACTTTAAACTATCAACTACCTTTAAGAATTGCTCGCCCCTTTCTCCTATCACACTGCTGAGTTTCCATACTTTGACAAACCCCACCCAGCCTGGGTTATTCCCACTAACCATCTTCCTCAGTCTCAAGTCCTTGTTGCTGAATGTTGAAGTCACTAACCTGTGCCAACAGGAGTCCCTAAAAATTTGCATTTTATAATTTCAACTTTGCCACTATGCTGCATGAAAACTTAAGACTCTTCTCTAATCAGCTATCCCATTCCAAATATTCTCTATCCTTAAATTTCCTATACAACCTTCATATCTCTTTCCTTCTCAGCAGTAGATCACCTCTCCTCCTACTTCATTAAGGAAAAATGGAGGGCATTCATTGTGAGCTCCAACCGTACACCTCAAAAACTCTCTTTGCCCCTTTCTTCTCTGTTCCAGTCTCTAACGGATAGTACCTTCTCCTTGTGAAAGCCAATTACTCTACTGGTGCTCTTTATTTCATCCCCTCCCATCTCCTCCAGAATCTTGCTCTGTTGATCATTCCCCTTTGTGATCTTCGCTCTCTCCTTATCCACTGCCTTTTCTGTCACCTACAAATATATCCAGATTTCTCTCACCCTTTAGAAAAATCCTTCCCTTGAATCTATTATCCCTCTTATCATCATCCTAGATTCCTTATCCCTTTGGAAGCCTAACTACTAGAGAAGATACTTGTCAATACTTGTTACCTTCATTTCTTCACCTCCAACTCTCGAGATGATGCCTTGCAATTTGGCTTCCAACACCACCAACTGATTAAAATTTTTATTTGTTTGCTTTTTGTTAATATCGTTTTTGTGAGGCAATCGGGGTTAAGTGACTTGCCCAGGATCACACAGCTAGAAAGTGTCAAGTGTCTGAGGCCAGACGTAAACTCAGGTCCTCCTGACTTCAGGGTTGGTGCTCTATCCACTGCGCCACCTAGCTAGCTGACCCACAAATGATCTTTTAAAATACTAAGTCAATGGCCTTCTCTTGGATCTTGTTCTTCTTCCACCCTCTTGGCATGGGCATATCCCAGGGCTCTGCTCTTCTCTCTCCACACTTTCTGCCTTTATGATCTCACTAGTTCCCATAGTTTCGGCTAATCTCTATACAGATAACTCCCAAATCTATACGTCTAGCCCAGTTCCAATCTCTGTCTTGAATTCTAATCCCATATTACCAGCTATCTGCTGGATTATCACAGAACGTGTTCAAAATAAAGCATATTTCCCTTGAAATCCCTCTTCAAAACTTGCCTTTTCCCCCTGAGATTACTGTTCTAGTAATAGTAACCATGGAGTTCACACACACGAAGTAATCTGACTCACCCACTCCCTAATAGTCTACCAATTATCAGGCCTTGTCGATTCTTCTTTCATACCCAGACCCTTCTCTACACTTATGTGGTCTCTTCCCCACTTTAGGAGCTCACCATGGATTATTATCAGGCTAATTTGTCGCCTGCTTATCTGGAAATAGTCGTGGTAATAACAATTATGATAGCTAACATTTTATATAGTGCCTACTATGTCCCAGGCACTATGCTAAGCATTTTATAATTATCTCATTTGATCCTTACAACAATCTTAGGAGAACTTTGCTATTACAATCTTCCTTTTACAGAAGAGGAAACAGGCAAAGAGAGGCAAAAGACCTGCCTGGGGTCATACAGTTTAGTAGGCGTCCGAGGCCAGATCTGAACTCAGTCTTTCCGACTCCAGAGCTCTATCCACTGCACCCCGCTTGTTGCCTCTTCTAGTCTCTCCCTTCTCTAGTCTATCCTCCACAAAGCTACCAAACTGATACTGTCATTTTCCAATGGCTCTCTCTTGCCTCTAGTACAAATGACAGTTAACTTCAACTTAGTATTTAAAGTTCTGCATAATATATCTTCCACTTCCCTTTTCAGTCTCTTCCCGGGATCAATTCCAATCAAGCTGTCTACTCTTCAAACACAGCTGTCCTTGAAGAAGTGCTCCCTCCTTCCCCAGGTATGGAATTCCCTGCCTTCTCCTCTGTATCATGAAAAATCCCTTATTTCCTTTACAACATAATGTCAGTACCACCGCCTACACATACCCTTCCTGATTCATTCTTGAAGTTGTCAATGCTCTTTCCCACCAAAATGGCAGTGGGCAGAAAGCTAGCCTGGAGGCCAGGGACCCACTGGCTCAAGTCCTACCTCTGACACATGCTGGTCGTCCCCTGAGCAGATCGCTTTCCCTCTCAGTGCTCTGGGTGCTGAGTAGCATTGGTGGAAAGAGTTCCCTATATTTATGTAATCACAGGTTCAATCCCTATCATAGATGCATTCTATTTACTTGTCCGTGGAGATGTTGTTTCCCCCAGTACACTGTATGCTCCAGGAGAACATGGAGGGTTTCATTTTTGTCACCGTCTCCCATACTGCCATCTACAAAGAAGATGCTCAAAAGGAATAGTTTGGGAACTGAATTAGGTTACATTAATAAAACTCCTCCCAGTTCTGCTGTCACTTCAATGCTTTTTTACCTTCCCTACTCTATATAATGAGAGGGATGATATTTATATTTTTAATATATAAAATAACATATTATATATTTATATATAAATACAACATTCATGTATTATAATAATATTTATGTTATGTATTATATATAAATATATTTATGATAACAAAGAGTGGTACAGCTAGCATTTCTATCACATTAAGATGATTAACCTTTCATCAGTGATACTATCAAAAGAGCACTGGATCTGAAGTCAGAAGCCCTGTCTATAAATCATGGCTCCAATACTTCCTTGCTATATATATAACAGGTTCTCTAAATCTCACAGGTTTATCAACTATAAAAATAAGATTAATGCTTGTACTACGTTAAAGGTTTTTTAGGAGGAATGTGGTTCTTTTAAAACTATAAACTCTATTAAATTGGACATTAGGTAGTGCAGTTGATAGAGCACTGAGCGTGGAATCAGGAAGACACAGCTTTCAGAGCTCAAATCTGGACTCAGGCACTTAATAGCTGTGTGACCCTGGGCAAGTCACTTAACCCTGTTTGCCTCAGTTTCCTCATCTGTAAAATGAGCTGGAGAAAGAAACAGCAAACCACTTCAGTATCTTTACCAAGAAAACCCCAAATGGGGTAACAAAGAGTTGGACACAACTGAAACAACTGAACAATAATGTGTACGGTTGGTGGCTATTTGTTATTTAGAAAACAGTTCCAATAACAGTAACTTATCAGACTTCTTTCTTACACTTTCACCCATAATCTCAAAGGCTTCTATTTTTTTCAAGGGGAAAAAAAAAGATGCATAAATAGTACACCCCTACCCCTGAAAAAAAAAAAGCATTAGGAAGAGAAGACCCATTGAGGAGAAACAAACATGTCTTACCTTCTATACCCAATCGAATTTTCTTAAGACCTCGTTCCTTCAAAACAGATTTGGCCACATCTCTATTTTCAATGTATTTGAAAAATCTATACAACTTTGTGCTATAAATAACTGGGGACAAAAAGCAACAGATTTTAGAAGTTAGTATCAGAAATAAATCTACTGAAGTTTTTTTACCTTAAATTCATCTTGCTCCACAATCAGCAGGGCCTGATCACCCTAAAACCCCACAATGGATGCAGTGATGCCAAAGGATGACTAGCCAACATGACACAACAGTTAAGTTCAGTAGAGTTAATATACAAGCAGATCTCTAACAGGGCTGAAACAAGAGAAGCTCTGACAATCCATCAGGTTACTACAGCTTAATATTGAAACCCAATCCATCAGAAAAATAACTCAATTCTAAAAAACCGTTTTTAGACACCTGACAAAAAGAGTGTGTGTTTCTTTAAAGACAATGGCCCACAGACACAGACTAAAACCCTGTCAAACAGGCAGAATGAAGGAGTGAAGGACATGTTACAAACCATTTAGATGATTATCATCCCCCAAGGGTACAGAGACAAGACACTTTCTGAATTTCATGGATTGAGCTACTATTATAATTCCGAAGAAGTGTACAGACCCCCCCCAACTATTCTTCACTTAGGTGGCCACCCCACTCACTACTGATGTTAAAAGGCAGATTCGAGCAAGTTCTGCCCAGGTTAGTCTGTTTAGGTCAAACAGGCTTTGCAAAGGACAGACACTCCACTGACAACATGATGAGTCTTCCAAATGTGCTGGGGACTTCAGGGAGTTAGACAGATGGGCCTTCCTCGCCTTCTCTCTTTCAGGTGGAGTTATCTCCCTTAAAAGGTGAACTGCAAAGGTTTTTGCAAAAAAAGAAAGACACACTCACAAACCAAACATGCTGGTTTATAAGATCCAATTAAAAGGAAAATAAATACTTGCTTTCTCTGGAATAAGTTTGTATCTATTTCTATGTCCTTAAAAATGCTGAAAATTTGAGAAGATTTGTCACAGCTTCACAGAATGGATGACATCACAACCATCATTATTTTATAATACTTCCTAATTATAAGAAAAGGGCTGGCAGAACTATCTTCATCTCCTACAAATAAATCCTCTTTGGTTAAAATATCTTTCTCAGAGCAAAACAGGAATTGAAAGTAGTTAGTTGAACTAAGGAAAAAATGTTTTCAGTCTGTAAGCTTCAAAGTTTAAGATAAGTTTCAAAAATCCCTTTTTAAAGAAGTAAAAATGAAAAAACAAAAACAAAACTGTGCTTCATAATGATCTGAATAAAGTAATTTCAAACTTTTTCCCATCCTCTGCAGGTGAAAGTTTTGGTTTTGAAAAATAAATCCCAAAGTTTTAAGAAATACATTTTACAAACATGACAGGCTTCTAAAAAAATCTTTTTGCATCACTTTAGTCTTTTTGATAAATCATTAATTCTTCCTGTATTTTGTCTGACTTGTGCAGCAAGACATCATAAAAACCAAGTTAGCAGAGACCCAGGACCAAGGGTATGTATGGTAATATCAGCTATCTAGTAGCAGTAACAATAGTAGTAGTAACAGTAGTAGTATACTGTTCACAAGAAAGAACACAACACTTATCTGAGCACAACATGGCAATTTATAGCTTAAACAAAGAAAATAATTTTTAAACAAAGAAAGTACTTTTAAGAATCCCAAAATATTTTCCCCATTAGACGATGTCATAATGAACTGAAACAGGAAGAACAAACCATCACCCCCACAACAAACCCCAGGAGTTTCAGTATCTTTGTGTTTCCTCCAGCTTACGTTCTATATCCAGGCCCTGGAAAACCTTGGCCTTTACAAAGTTAGCAATTTGAGTGACTGATACGTTCTTCTAAAAAGATTAAATGAAGATGTTTATAAAATATATGTGTGTGTGTGTGTGTGTGTGTGTGTGTGTGTGTGTGTATCTATCTATCTATCTATCTATCTATCTATCTATCTATCTATCTATCTATTTCATTGGAATTCTACCCTAAAATTTTCTTCTCATCTGAGAGGAAATCTCAATCACTTCCAGGAAATTCGCCAAAGAGAATTAATATATGCCTCATGTATGATTTACCAAAAATATCAAAAGCTCTGGCAGGGGGGAAAAAAGGGAATAAAAATGTAATTAGAAAGAGAGAAGCTAAATGATTAGTGCTTTAAAAAAATGCAGATATCGCCTTAGGGAGCAGAAAGAGCAAACAAGCAAAAATACTATGGTCTTCTAAAGGTATTTGTGGGTCACAATACTATCTACAAACGGACAGGTTATCAAACAAAATGAAGCTCTTTCAGACCAAAACTCACTTCCACGGGCCAGTTCATTTAGGCTTTTGGGTCAAAAACCACTATAATCTACAGTGACCAAAAAGCATTCTAACAAACCATTCCTACCTTTACAAGATGTTTCTAAGAGTTACTCATTAATAAAGAAAAGACATTTGTTATATGTAGTAAAATTCTAAAATAAAAATGTATTCTTTTATTAAACTGAAGTTAAAACAAATAAACTAAAGATAAGGTGATAAACCAGCAGCCCTGGACCAGCAGATAAAAGACATTTCCCAATACTTACTCTGTGAATATTCTTCGCCCATCTGTGGTGGGTATTCTTCATCCCAATCAACCACATCATCATCTGTGAGTACCACTATATGACACTCTCTTTCACCACTATGGGCACTGGCCACCATCAGAGGGAGGATCATTTCCTCTAAATAAAACTCAAATTGTCTACGAGCACCATCATTTGATAATTCATGCATGAGGGCACCTGAAATCAAACCCATAAATATATCATGATTTTTGGATGACTCATGATGAGTATCAGCAGAAAGTATAAAAAGACTTCTATCCATCTTTGAAAAGCCTTCCCATCCCTCTGTGATTTAGACTTTCCTTGAATAAAGTAAACCTGTGAATCTTGACTAGCATTTTGTTTATTATCTTTGATGACCTCATGTGACTGTGTCTCCTACCCACATAAAGTAGAGTCATAGATTATCAGAGCAGAGAGTACTATTCAGCTCAAGTTCATTTTGTCTATAACAAGCTTACTGTTCTTACTCCAGAAGTTGGCAACATATTCTCTTGCTTTGTTTGGTCTTTTACTTTGTCTTTCCCAACCCCCCCCTTCCAGCGTTTGACTACATGCTCAATGAGGGAAAAAGCAGTTTTTATCTAACCACTTTATCATACCAAATACCTAGTAGAATATTCTGTGTCTAATAAATGACTGCTGAATAAATAAATGACTCCGGTTCTGATTAAGTTTATCAATGACATTATTATTGAGGTAGACTGGAGGAGTGAAAACCTAGCCTGTGATACAAACTGGCTGTATGACTCTGGACAAGTCACTTAAAAACTCTAAGTTGCAGAGGTGTCAAACTGCATTGGTTGAGAGAGTTTCTCCTCCAGAAGTTCTACATGTCTATAAAACCACAGGTTCAATGCTTATCTTCTTGACATCTGTTAGCCAAATATTGACTATTTTGTAGAGGTGTTACCTGACAAAAACTTGAATAGGAAAAGAAGTTTTTATGCAAAAACAAACATTTCTCAATATGTACATTAACTCAAATTACTCACACTAGGAGGTGTTTACAAACCTCAAATTTTATCATCACCATTACTCCTTTTCCACCTTCTTTGAAAAATACCCAGAAAAAGTATCAAGAACACACTGGAAGGAGGAGGGAGGTTTGGTAATAACAAAGTAAAAGACCAAACAAAACAAGAGAGTATGTTGCCAAGTTCTAGAGTAAGAACAGTAAGCTTGTTACAGACAAAATAAACATGGGGACCTAAACAGTACTCTCTGCTCTACAGTAATGGGGATGACATACAACTCTACTCCATGAGTTCAGTCATAACATACTGTAATTACCAGTAAAGAATGGAGTTTTTACTAGAAAATCAGAAAAGATTATAAAAGTCAGGGCTCAGACATTCTGTGTTCCAAGAAAATGAACTAAAAGAAGGCCTGGAGATGCTCTGAACTGAGTCTCTTACCCAAAGGCCTAGGCAGATTGGGGAGCATCGCCCTGGAGCTCTCCCTCCTAGTAAACAGAGTTGAGGTAGGACGCGAGATAAGGAGAATTACATCACGTTACATGGAGGAAAGGGAAGGTGCAATTCAGCTGAGAGCTTTCTCTACTGTCATGGAGGAAATCTAAATGTTAAAGATGAAAGATCAAGGACCAAAAGGCCCTGGGGACAGACTTTCATTAGCTCTCCCTTTCACTACCTGCCTTCTAAATATTGCCCCTTTTACACTTCCTTATTTTACAACAGTTCACAACAATGAGATTTTCCAGAAAAGGAAAATCTTTGCTGACAAATCCAAAGCATTTTGTCTAAGTAGGAAAGGGCAGAGGGTAATGGAAATGAAGGTCAGATAATTGCCTATCTTCTACAATAGCCAGCCTGACATTTTGAGAAATTTTCATGGGCATCACCAATCACTCTATGTCACTCACTCCCCTTACACACATACACCTCCAGTTGCTCCCTATCTACTCCATAAAATACAAAATCTCTGCTTGGCATTCAAAACCCTTCACAACCTAGCCCCTTGCTACATTTTACTCCCCATCACATAACTCTTCAATTCAATGACATTGGCCTCCTGGCTGTTCTACTCCCCTATCTCTGAGCCCTAAGCATTTTCTCTGGCTGTCCTCCATGCCTCAAGTCTGCCTACTGACCTCTCAGGCTTCCTTAAGTCCCAACTAAAATCTCATCTTCCATAGGAAGCCTTTCCCAACCCCTCTTAATTCTACAGTCTTCCCTCTCTTAATTATTTCCTATTTATCTTATAGAGAGGATGCTTGTACATATTTGTTTGCATGTTTTCTCCCACTTTAGACTGTGAGCCCCCTGAAGGTTAGGACTATCTTTTGGTTCTTTTTGTATCTCCAGCATTTAGCATAGTGCCTAGCACACAGGACGTGCTTAATGTTTACTGGCTGATTATTTCAAGAACGAGGAAGTAAGCTCCCAAACATCAAGTGTCTTGTCCAAGACCACCATGCTTGTCAGTGACAGACTCTGGAGCAGAACTCAAATTCTCTAGACACTACATACAGTTCAGTGTTCCTTCTGCTATAAATATACTCATCAAATTTTAAAAAGAAGCCACATTTGGCTGAATACTTGTAAAGTTTAAAAACTACACCACTTTTCCAAAAGCAGCATTTGCTATCAGCAAGTCAATTAACTCTTTGTAGATGCAATATTTTAAAATAATGTTAATTTTTGGTGGGCACTGTAGACAAATACACCCACACATCCACACACAGAGCCATTTCTTTTGTATTTAGGCATTCCTTTCTACTCAGACATCCAGTCTGACCTACAGACCAGTCAAGCCTATTTAACAACCCTAGGGCATGACCAACCAGAGTTTGGGTATTTTTCCCCCCAGAAAATAAAAAACAAAAACAAAAACTTTTTTTAAACTTAATTTAAACTAACAGACATGAGCTAGCAGGCCAACACGGTCCAACCACCTATAACTTCTGACTATGCAAGACCAACTCTGAACAAGGTTTTGGTTCACTAGATTCTTTCAAAGTACGTTCTCTTTTACGAAACCATTGAAACCAAAGCTGAGAACCACTATCAGTGACGAAGATTTGAGTCAGAATTGAGATATACCTTCGATGAGCTGTCTATTAAATACCAATACATTTATGGATCTTTTCAAAATTGATTAATGATTAACACTAGGCTTTCAGTTATGCACTTTTGTCAAGTTAATGTTGGTTAATACTGATTTTGCTTATTTTTTTTTATTACAGCTGGTTGCAAAACTAACCGTCCCCTTCACTGTTTTCAACAAAAAATTCTATCTCTAGGTTTCAGTTTCCTCATCTGTGTAAAAAAAAAAGGGGGGGTGTCATCTCAAGTGGTAACTACTGCTTCTAAAGCTAAGGTCTTATGAATAATTATACTTACTATATCCTAAAATAAAACAATGCATTGTTAGATACAATTGCAAAGTATCACTTAAAAAATTAGTACAGATTACCTTGAATCCTAAAATTATACACCCAGTTCATTTGGTTGGATGAAGGGTGATGAAATTTTCAGTCCCAGCAATTCTGAAAAACTAAATTGTGGTGAGATCCCACCTGGACAAGAGGGAATGTAGCACAGTGGACAGAGAGCTAGTTTCAAAGCCAAGAAGACCTGGGCTTCAGTCTCATTTGTGACACCTGCTGACTGTGTGATCCTGAGCAAGTCCCTTCCCCTGCTCTCTCAGTAACTATAAGCTGCAGACAAATGGCTGACTTGCAGTGGTAGAGGGAATTTCCTTGTCTGGGAGTCTATCACACCAATGAAATCACAGGCTCAGTCAGTCACTGCCCTATAATTTATACTGACAAAATATGCACATACAACAACAAAATTACAGATTCTTGAAATGCGAAAGAAAAATTTTGGTCGAACTTAGGGTCAGACATACATATGCTATTAGTTTTCAAGCAGCACTGTCACATGGCAGATAGTAGCAATGACTGGGTATATCAACACTGGCCTCTTAAAAATCACCAGAAGATTGTGAGTATCATAGCCTACAATTAAGAATACTACATTTTAAAAGTTCAAAGTTCAAAAATCACACAAAGATCCTGAAGACCTTAGGGTATATAAGGATGGAGATCTTTAAATATTTTGCTGAGTTAAGTAACGATTTTCCTTCAAATGCATTACAGCTCCCCTTAAAAACAATCACCACACTGTCTATATACATTTTTCCATAGATATTGTACTTACTGAGATCTCTACATTTTATAGTACTATATTCAAAAGAGATACAAAGATAGTCACACGCTTCTCTTAGTTCAGGAATAGATATGCCATCAGGACAACGGATTATTCCTGTCTTGTAGTAATCCTGGAAAAAAAAAAAGAATTAGCAAAATATCTAGTAGCCTAAAACAGTAGCCCTGAATTAGTAACGGCATTACTAGAAATAAAAGGAGAGAGAGAAAAGAGGATACCACTTTATCATATATCTTTCATCACAAAAAAATTCAATTCAACAAATGTTCATTAAATACCTAGTATTATGCCAAATCCCTGTACAACATACAAGATTAGAGTTAAGCATTTATTAAGTGCCTATTAAATGGAAAGTACTATAAGTTCTGACATAAAAACAATAGTCCCTGGCCCTAGGGAATTTATAATCCAATAGGATAGATATGCCATGTATACAAATACTTATTACAAAACACTGAGATCAAGACTACATGCTCTCAAAAAACTTGAGGAAGAAGAGATCAATTTGTCTTTTGCCTAACGCCTCAAACAAGGATCACAGTAAATGCTTAAATCATTCGTGCACTGAAAAAATGAGGACCTCAATTAGAATGGTGACAGTTCTAATAGAAAGGAGGGAACATATGTGAGCACTATTATAGAACAATCAGGATTTGGGATAACCAAACAGAGAAAGTGAAGTCAAAGATGACTTGGGTGACTGAAAAGAAGATGGTGCTACTAACAGAAATAAGGAAATGGGAAGGAAGGGTGAGTAGAGAAGAGAAGACAATGAGTCAATTCTGGAAATATTAAGTCTGTGGTACTAATGGGAGATTCAGGAATAGACATAGGAGTTATTTGTACAGCTAAAGATTAGTGAAGACATGGTTGTATTAGAGCTCACCAAAGGAAAGAGCAGAGCTAAAAAGGAACAGGATGTGGACAGAGCCCCTTATGCTAACCAACACTAAGAAGGCAGGTAAGAGAGTAGTCATACATACAGGAGAATCAGTAACGACTCTGTCACAGAATCCAAATTAGAAGTGTTTATACAGAAGGAAAACGGTGGTCAAGTACTTCCTTCTTGTCATTTGCATCACACTGTGATGTCTTGACTAACTTGTGAACTGGATTTACATGAAGTAGAGTTGTATTTCCACAGTCATGGAAGTCCAGTGGCAAGACAAAAGTCAGGATGACTGGTAGACTGGGATGCAGTGAATTACCTTGGCATATCTGACCAAGCTCTAAGCACTCCACAGCACCTGCTTCAGCCACCTTCATGGAAATTAGAATAAATTGTTCTCGTGTGCCCATTCCACCAGGGGAAGTCTTCACATGTTTGGGGTAGATACCTCCTAACTCACCTACAGGTCTGAGGCCTATTGGGTACCCTTGATCTGATGGTTCTTAAATCCTACTTTCTGCAAGAAGCCTTTCCTGGCCTCCTCTACTGCTGGTGCCTTCTCAGATCACCTGCCATTTACCCTGCACTACATCATGTACTTAACATAGCTCTTTGCATGTTGTCTCTGCTATTAGAACATGAGATTCTTAAGGGGCTGTTTTTCCTTTTTTTTTTATTCCAATTGCTTACTTAGCATAGTTCCTTTCACACAGTAGGTACTCAATAAATGCTTGTTGATCTTTTATGCCTTTACATTAGCCAATCCCCCTTCCAGCCCCCTAATCCCACATACCCTGAATGCATTATCTCTTTAATTCCACCTTGTAGGAATCCTTTCCCCCTCCTCTCCCTCTTCATTAAGAGAGTAATTCTCAGGTCCAGAGCCCTGAATGTTGACTGAATTGTTTTGGGGAGCCTGTCTCATAAAGGGATCGGGTTCTTTTTCTCACCTTTGGTTCTGCTTTACACTCTTATTCTGGAGCACCCGAGAAAATTGCTTAAAGCTTAGGTTTGGGCTTATGTCTAGAGTCTCCCCCAAAATGGAGGAAGAATATACAATGCAGATCAGGTAGAGGACAGTTATTTATTTCCTCTATTCAAAAGAAATACTTAACTAAGACGACTCATAAGCATGCCTTGACAAAAGTCTTTAAAAAGCAGTAACACTATAACTACTATTATGTTCTTCTGGAAGGCTGAAATAAACATTGAAAACGTGAAGCGGTTTGTAAGACTGCTAAATAAGTATTTTTCATTTCACACTGGTTCTAACTTGCCTGAACCATTCTCTCCAGGTCCAAATAATATGGAAAGGACAATGAAAACCAAGAAGAGGTTAACAGATTTGGAATTAAGAGGTCACACTGTACTGGCCTTCCTGGAGCAAGAATTCAGTATGGAAATGACACACAAATGTATGCTTAGAATATAAAACAAAATGGAAATGACAGAGGCCATCAGCATAACGCTATGTAAGAAATATGATTTGCTCATGAGTAGGCCTAGAAGAGACAATATATTAAAAACAACAATATCATCCAAATTAATTAAGGTGGTATTATAATTCAGTGCTATACCAAACTACCAGAGGATTATTTTGTAGAATTACAAAAAAAATACTTAATAACAAAATTCATCTGGAGGAACAAAAGAGTCAAGAACCTCAAGGGAAATAATGAAAAAAAAAAATTAGGTAGAAAGGGATCCTGGCAGTACCAGATCTCAAACTGTATTATAAATCAGCAATCATCAAAACAATTTGATAATGATTAAAAAATAGAGACATTAACTAGTGAAACAGATTAGGTATAAAACATAATGAAGCAAATGCAGCCTATTGTTCAACAAATCCAAAGACCCCACCTAAAGGAAGAAGGACTCAAATGCTGGCAAAACTGGTCCGATAATCTGGCATAAATCAGTTTTGGTCTTTTGGACCAAAGAACATTAACGTGCTGTTGGTAAAGTCATTCTAGAAAGCAATTTGGACCTCCACCTCAAGCAAGATAAGCTCGAAAAGGATATATGACCTAGACACAGAAGGTCAAATCATAAAAAAATTAGAATAAGGGAAAAAAAAACCTACCTTTTAGATCTATAAGAAGGGAAAAGTTCACTACCAAAGACGGAACTCAGAGGATCAGAAAAGATAAAATTGGCAATTTTGAATTCACAAAATTAAAGGGTTTGTGCAAACAAATCTAATGCAACTAATAGTAGAAGGAAAACAATTCACATTAGGCAAATAAAAAAGATTCAGGGAAAAAAATCTCTGCAGCAAGTTTCTCTGATAAAGCTCTCATTTCCAAGATATCCAAGATATCCAAGGAACTGATTCAAATGAATAAAAATAAGATCCATTCCTCAATTCATAAATGGTCAATAAATCTTCTCAAGGGAATAGGTACTTCTCAAGGGAAGAAATTCAAGCTACCCATAGCCATAGATCATAGACTTTCCCTGCATTTAAAAAATGCTCCAATTTATTAATAATTAGAGAAAAAAATAAACCTCACATCCATGTCACACCCATCAAACTGGCAAAGCTGATAAAAAAAAAAAGACAAATGTTGGAGAGGCTATGGGGGAAAAAAAGGAACATTAGCACACTGTTGGTAAAGCCATTCTGGAAAGCAATTAAGACCTCTACCCGATGAGCTACTAAACTGAGCATACTCTTTGATTCAGTTTTACCATTACTATATACACCCCAATGAGATCTAAGAGAAAGGTGAAAGTCTTCCTTGATGTACAAAAAATATTTATAACAACTCTTTTTGTAGTAGCAAAGACTTCGAAAGTAAGGGGTGCCTATTAATCATGGAATGGCTGGACAGCATGTGATTTTCATGAAACATGATTACGCAGTAAGAAAAGAGACAGTTTTGGAGAAACCTGGGAAGATTTATATGAAGAACTGATGCAGAGTAAAATAAGCAGAACCAGGAAAACAATTTATACTATAACATCAACACTGTAAAAGCAAATTTCCAGAAGGGGGAGCAGAGGAAAGGAGAGAAAATTTAGAACTCAAAATCTTATAGAAGTGAATGTTGAAAGCTAAAAACAAATAAATAAGTAAAATAAAATAAAGCAAATTTCCAAAGACAAGAACTCTGATCAATGCAATGAGCAATCATAGTTCCAAAGGATCAATGATGAAAAATGCTACCTCCAGACAGAGAGATGACAGATTAATATGCAGAGTCACATATTTCTAGACATAGGCAATATAGGAATTTGTTTGCTTGACTAATTGTTGCAAGGTTTGGGGGGGGTGTTCGGGGAAGGAGTAGAGGAGGAAAAAAATAAAATTTAATTTAAAAAAGTGCTAAGTAAGGTCCAGCACAGGGAGGATCAGGCAAGACACTTCATAAAAGAGATGGAATTTGACTTGCGCTCTAAATGATAGCAGGAATTCAGTAGCAGACCTAGAATGGGAATGGGGTGGAGGGAAAGTGGACGTATTTAAAGTACAGGAAACAAAGACACCAGGGAAAGAGATGGGAAAATAGTACCTGATAAGCCTGGCAAATTGGAAACAAAGTAGATGTTCATCTATTGGAGATTGGCTAAAAAAACTGCAGGAACATGAATGAGATGAGCATTATTGTGCTTTAAGAAACGATGAATATGATTAACAGAGACATACAGACTTATGTGAGCTAATATGACGTGAAATAAGTAGAGATAAGAAAACATACATAAAATCTACAACATAAATGAAAAGAACCACAAACAATAAAAAGAGACTGTTGCAAAATCACAAAGAACAAGTCAAGACCCCAAAGAAGATATTAGAAAAGACACTCCCAATCCACTTCTTTACAGAGGTGGGTCAATGGATATGGAACACTGCATATATATTTATGTTTTTATTGTTGTTCTTCAGTCCTGAGTCTCTGTGACGCTGTTTGGGATTTTCTTGGCAGAGAATCTGCCATTTCCTTCTTCAGTTCATTTTACAGATGAAAGAACTGAGGCAAATAGGGTTAACTGATCTGTCCAGGGTCACACAACTAGTAAGTGTCTGAGGCCAGATTTGAACTCAGGAAGACAAGTCTTCAGGACTTCAGATGCCAGCACTGTATCTGCCGTGCCACTTTCTCAATATATGGATTGGTTTTGTTGATTTTTGTTGCCTTCTTTTTCTTTGAAAAAAAAATGACATTTGTTATATGGAATAGCTCTCTGGGAGAGGGAAGGAGGAAAGGGTAGGAAGAAAGAGGGAAAGGATACTAGAAGAAATTCTGGTGATGTGAAAACAAAAGCATAAAAATTTATTTTTAGAAAGCTCAAGTTTTAAAAAGGTAGAAGGTAGGCTTGCACCAGGTTGTGGAGGGCCTTGAATGCCATTAAAAAGGATTTTGAGCAGAAGAGGAACATAGTTGGATCTATGCCTAAAGAAGATTAAAGAGGCATGAGAGTGTATGTGGAAAGTATCTGTTAGGAAACTGCTGCAAAAATCCAAGCAGGTGGTCATGAGGGTCTATACTAGGATGGAGGCAACAGGGACAGAAAGAAGGGGGAAAATTGAGTGATATTGAGATGAAAGAAAAAAAAACAAGTAAATCACTGGATAGGAGAGATGAAGGAGAAGACAGGATCAAAGAAAAAGCCAAGGTTTCAAACATGGGAGAAAAGACGATCACTCTATTTAAATGGTCCTGATTAAGACAAAAAGCCCATGAAGTAGATACAGAAGAAATAGAGGTGGGAAAAATAAGGAGAGTATAATGTCACAGAAGTCAAGGAAAAGTACCCAGAAGAATGGGATAGTCAATAATGTAAAGGGATGGGGCAGCTAGGTGGCACAGTGGATAGAGCACTGGCCCTGGAGTCAGAAGGACCTGAGTTCAAATCCAGGCTCAGACATATATTATTTCCTAGCTGTGTGACTCTGGGCAAGTCACTTAACCCCAATTGCCTCACTAAAGAAAAAAAAATGTAAAATGCTACAGAGAGGTTATGGGCAATGAGGACTGAGGAATAAAAAGACCATTAATTTAGTATGTAGGAGATCACTGGTAACCTTTAAGGCAGTAGTTTTAACAGAGTGGTGCAGAAGGAATCCAATCACAAGGGGTTGAGAAGTGCATACAGTGGCAAAGAAGTAAAGGTATGTGGCATAGACAACTTTTTTCCAATTAATGAATACATGAAGGGGAGGATAAAAGTGAGATAACAGGTGACTAGTGTAGAACAGTCAAGGGAACGTTTGGGGGGGTTTTTTTGGACTGGAAAACCCTAAATATATTTGTAGACAGACAGAAGGGGTCATCAGGAGCTGAGAGATTAAAGATTATGAGAGAATAAGGAAACGATGAAGTCAAGGGCACATGGCAGTTAGCCCAAGGGGCTTAAAAGTACCTCTTTATCTGATAAAACAAAGGAAGAGAGAATGAGCGATGATTCTAAGAAATAAAGAGGCAAAGAGAATTCCAAATTCAATGACCTCAATCTTCTCAGTGAATTAAGAGGCTAATCATCTGCTCAAGCATAAAGTCTAGGTACAAGTCTGGGAACTTTGGAACTGAGGATGTAATGGAGGATGTAAAAGGATAGCAGAGTTGCAAGTAAAAACATTATCTTCTGGCTCCTGGTGCAGGATTCTTTGCATGTGAACTTTTTTTAAAAAATCCATATTGCTAATTTTCATATGAAACCAACCCAAATTGTGGCCTTTTCATTCCCTTTTCAAATACTAAAGAAAACCAGGTAGATGAGTGTCAGGATCTAAGAGTTAATGAAAGGTAGTGGAGATGCTTATGCAGCAAATGTATATAGTCCAAAGAACTTCACAGAAAATTAGGCTAGTTTCAAATAAAATTTTCTAAGTTGTACCCCAGTCCAAGAATATAAAATACAAAATGTTCAAGTGAGGGGTCTTTTTTAAATTAAGTGTAAGGATGGATTGTGTTCTCCAAGAAATATCCTATAATCTCATCAATCTTATATGCCTAAATATTCTCCTCCTCTTTTATTCACTCCTTAAGCACCTCAGAATAAAGAGGGGAAAAAAGACTGACCACCTAAGCTTTTAGTCTATGGCCTCTGGCTACACATTGCATTAATTTTTATAAAGCAAAATAAAAGTTTTTAAATTGTACAAGCTGTTTAAAGCTGAATCTTCTTCATTATCGAACTGAAATTACAAGTAGGGAAATGAGCTAACCTAATTTAATTCTTTCTGATAAAAATAAACCTGTTGTCAAATTAACTTTGAAAGCTGAATGTAAAGAGTCAAAGGAGTTGTGTCTGAGTTCTGCCTCTTCCACTTCCTTTGTATCTGCCCTCATTTCACTCCTCTAGGCTGCTGCTTCCTTATCTGTAAAATAAGGAGTTGGAGCAAGGTGATCTCTAAAGTCCATTTCAACTCTGAAATACTTTAATTCCTCCATAACTTTCTATATTCTTGTCTCAAATAAGTAACACATAAAGCACAGGAGATCACCTATTCATCCTTATGTGAAAATTTATTGGGGGAAATTTTGCAATGGACACGTCACTCCTAAATATACTTAGCTGAGTGAAGCTGTAACAAAAACTTACTGCATACAAAGTAGAATTTGCTCCCTGCCCAAAACCTTCCTCTACAAAAGGTCACCTAGCATTTTTTTATAATATATCCCTTTTTCTCGCTAAAAGGTTATCAAACATTAAAATGGTATCAAAATGGTACCCAAATAGAATGCAACACCTAGTTGTATTCCTAGTTCTTTGTACCACAACATAGTCCATATACCTGAAAATACTTAACACTCACCAAAATAGCTCGAAATACAGTAGAACCAATTCCCTCTGCTACTTCATACTCTCCTTTCTCATTAGGACGTGTGAAGTTGTGTTCTCTTCCAGATCCAAACATCCTATCACATAAAATAATAAAAACAAATCAAAGTTTCCTCCAAGTGGGATAAAAAAAATTTAAAGTTAAAATTATTTCTCTTTACTGTGAAATGCAAATATTAAAAATCATTGGGGGCAGCTAGGTGGCACACAGTGGATAGAGCACCAGCCCTGGAGTCAGGAGGACCTGAGTTCAAATCTGGTCTCAGACCAGACACTTGACACTTACTAGCTGTGTGACCCTACACAAGTCACTTAACCCCAACTGCCTCACCCACCCCAAAAGAAAATTATCACAGTAACTACAGAAATTTCTGTAGAAATATAACTGACAAAGCAGAAGTGAAAGACCTCTTAAGAGTTGTTTACTGTAGTTCCATCCTAATGGAAGAGAATATAGAACAGTAGCCTCTTTATCTATAAAATAGTAATAAAATTCCTAAACTGTGCAATACACATGTTCAAGAATTTCCTTCTGGGCAGCTAAGTGGTGCAATGGATAGAGCACCGGCCCTGAAGTCAGGAGGACCTGAGTTCAAATCCGGCCTCAGACCAAACACATGACACTTACTAGCTGTGTGACCCTGGGAAAGTCACTTAACCCCAATTGCCTTTAAAAAAAAAAAAGAATTTCCTTCTAAATGTTGGATACACATTGAAAAAAAAAATTCTTACCCTAAAGCTATGATCTTATCAATTCCTTCCCACAATGCAGTTAATAATCCATTCATTAAACTTTGCAGAAATGGAGAGGAGGGGCAAAAGAGTGGTGCTGGCTAAAGAAGCCAACTTAAAAAAAAATACACTCCCATAATCTTCATTTAAAATTGCTAGCTTACTGTAAAAGAGAGAATAAATAGAGAAAAAAATGTATATAATAGGCTAGAGAGTTCAGGGGATGGATAGGAGGTAAAATTTTATTTTTCATAATCTTTTAACTATATGTAAAAATATCATGCCATCAATCATTGCCACTTACATAGAAATGAAGAACAAATGACTAGGCAGGGAAAGAACAGGACTAGGAAAAGGAGAAAGATAAGGAAAGGGAACTTAAATCAATATCCTGAATAACCTAGTATTGGATTCCATTACAAAATAAAGCACAAAGTATAAAATATGGAAAGGTTAAATTTTTGCAAAACACACACCAGCCACTTTTGCAATAACAATAAAAATACTCTTAAATTGTTCATCTTTATATCTAAGTGCCTTGCATGCATGTAGTGTGAAAAAAGATAATGGATGCACAAATGCTTTGTGGAAGCTAATTTACAAAAAAAAATTGTCTAGAAATTTAAAATGCATAGTCCTCATACCAAATTTAAAGGTTTGATCTTTACTGTAAAAAGTCATAATTCTAAATGAATTATGTCCTAAAGTAAAGATGGCCAAGTATCCAACAACTTCCCAATTCACAAGGTTTCTGCTCTTACTGTAAGTGAAACCCATACAGAACAAAGCCTTTTTATTCAAAACTTTCCAAAAGCCAACCAAGTACTTTTACAGTTCCCATGAATATTAATTTCCATTCACAATGATATACTGTAGTCCTTTTAAATGAAAGGATGCCTTCTTTGTTTAAAAACAAAAAAAAAAGACTGTCTTTCAGGAATTAAATGTCACACAGTTCTCAAATACTTGAACTGGACCAAAAGGGCAAGCTAATATACTTAGATCAGTCTGGAAATTTTTAACAAATCCCACAGGCACCTTTGAATTAAAATGTGGAATTACAATTTTAAATACAATTTCAGATATCAGCTTTTTATACTTTCTAAAGTTTAGATAAGCGTGTATAGCACTAATAAGTCTCATTTCCTTAAAACACCCTTTTCCATGTGTGTCTTAAAAAATAAGTAAATTCCTGCCATGGATTCTCCCCCCCTGGACCCAACATAATTTCATTACTTTTGCCCTTTAGAGTGCTCTGGTTACTCTTTGTCTTACCCCATTATCTAACACAATAACAAATGCCAAAAAGAAACAAAACACTCAAATGCAGTATAAGCCATTCGCATGTGTCCCAAGCAGACATTTCTTTCCCCTACATACCTCCCCCTTACCCCTCCATTTTCACACTGGAACCAATGAGGTCAAAGCTATTTGTTTTGTAACATGGTTGAAGGCTGCTTAGTTTTAATTATGAATATACTCTACTCACAATTAGGTTAGCATAACATAATAGTGGTCAATCAAAAACTAAGCTTAACATTCCAGTTCCTGCCTAGCAAACTCTCTTGAATAGGAACTACCATGAAAAAAAGATTATATATCTAAAATCTTCAGCATAGCAGAGCTGATTAGTAAGTACCTGCACAGGAATTTCCTTTGAGGGGTAGATAATAGCCATAATAATAATAATGGTATTGCTTTAAACTTTGCAAAGCGCTTTAAATGTATCGTCTCATTTGATTCCTACCACAAATCTTTGAAGCAGGTGCTATTATTCCCATTTTACAGATGAGGCAACAGACTGAGAGACGTTAAGTGACTTGCCCAGTATCACACAACTAAAATCAAGTGTCTGAGACAGTTTCAGTGTTGAACTGGTGACCATGAGTAATGAAATATCCACAGGATATTGTGGAAGAACATGGATAAAAATCATGTTAGATACTAAAAGAATGGATGGGTTGTCATCCGCACACCAGGAAGGAAGTAACCACATAGACAAGTTAAGTGGGTTCCCTTTCATCAAAGGCCTTCAAGTAAGCACTGGATGACCACTTGTCTGACCTTATATACAAGGCATTTCTGTTGGGTGTAAGTGGAACTGGAAGTTCCTTAAACACTAAGGTTCTCTGAGATCATGGAGCCATGGAAGTTTTGCAACACTTCAGAGTAACTTCCAAAGATTAATATATTTCAGAATTTGGGCACACCCTCTTTCTCTTGGCATCTATCAAATGCTTGCAATATAGAAAGCTATTAAGTTTTTATTATTAAGCTTTATTACTATTAATCTTTATGTTAACTTTTTCAAATTAGTAAGAGAAAAGGGGTAGGGGAGAGGGAAGGTTTTATCTGGTAGGCTTGTGGTGATACCAAAACATATGTTGGGCATATGTTCTTAATCTTTTTTTTTCTTGTTGTAGACCCATGTGGCAGTCTGTTAAAAACTATGAAACCCCTCCCAGAATAATATTTTTAAGTAATTGAAGGAAATGCTAAATTTCCATTAGAACTCAGTGAAAATATGTGATTTCTTTTTTTTTTTTACTCATCCAAGTTCACAGATGTCCTTAAATTCTGTCACAGACCCTGTAGGGATCCACACATCCTAGGTTAAGAATCCCTGTGTTAGAGAAACCTAGGGAATTTTCTGTTGCATTATAAAAAAGGGGAAAAAAACCCTAAAATCTGCCATTCAAATGAAAGAATAAATAAATCTTACATGTGATAATCTCTTAAAATTCTGTCATTGTTTGAGAGTGGGTTGAGGGAATCAAGGGGGAAACGTTCAGTTATTTGTTGTTGTTCAGTCGTTTCAGTCTGGTCTTCACTCGCCATGACCTCATTTGGGATTTTCTGGGCAAAGATACTGGAGTGGTGTGCCATTTCCTTCTCTAGCTCATTTTACACATGAGGAAACTGAGGCAAACAGGCTTAGGTGACTTGCCCTGGGTCATACGGTTAGTAAGTGTGGCTTACTATCACAAGGCTGACTTGAACTCTGGTCTTCCTGACTATAGGCCCAGCGCTCTATCCACTGCGCCATGTAGCTGCCCAAAAAAAATTACAGAGGAACAATTTTTTGGGCTCAAAAAACTTTCTAAGCAATTTAAGCTGTCAAAGAATGGAATGGTCTACATCCAAAAGAAGAGAACACCTGCCACTTTAAGTGTTTAAGCAGGTGCTAGATGACAAGAGATTCCTGCTGAAGGTTAGGAGCTTCTAAAGTTCCTTCCAATTCTAAGACCACAGGACAATTACTTATTGATTCTGGGGGGGGAAAAAAGGAGTAAATTTTGGTAACCTTTTCAAAGTCATAAATACTATTCTCAGATACAAGAATATCCCAATTAACAAATCCTATGGGACCAAAGCTCCTTAAAGAGTTAGTCTGGGCACAGATTAAAAAGGGACTGGAAGAAATTCTACTCTGCATTATTTTCACTGTGGTATACAGCTGGGTGCTATTTTAGTTTGTGGGCCTCCCATGGTCCCAGGTGAAGGGGTAAAACCAAAGGGAAAAGGGGAGTGAGGAAGAACCCTGGAAGACCTATCCCACAGGACTGGCCTCGGGCAACAAAGTTTCTAACAACAAAATATAATACTAAAATACATGTTCTTCATGAACGCAAGTGTCACTTGTGTTTCAAAGAGTTCAAATAACAATTCATTTTATAGTTAGCTATTACTACTAATACCAACCTGCCCAACATTGTATTTGGCTGTGCAGTAAAAATAGATGGATCTACAACAAATCTAGTATTATCCACAATTAATGTTACTCGTTCTGATGTTCTTATACTCCGAGCTCCCTCCTTTGCATTCTCATACACGAATATCATTTCCCCGGAAGTCTTACAACCACCATCTGAATTTGACTGACTACTGTTTCTGCTGTTGTTCCCAACACTGCTACTGGAACCATTGGGGGATGCTTTTTGAGGACGAGGACTACTTGGGCGGGAAGAACTATGATCTTTTTCTCGTTCTGCAACAGAAAAAAAAATGTGTGTGTGTGTATATATATATATATATATATATATATATATATATATATATATATATACATACACACACACACAAATTTGAACATATATCTTTGTATTTTCAGAATTTTTTAAACACAGAAATCTTAGTGTCTAATAAGTTGATTGTGAGTCTCAGATTCATCAAGGGATACCATTTTTTCAGACCATAATTTTTTTCATTGCAAATCAGCTTCTACTAATTCTAGCTTACCTTTTCTGATGAAACTAATGCAAAATATATCAACTTATTACTTCTCCAGGATAAAATGTCAACATGAATTGAATAGTTGGCCATGGTCTAAGATATATGGTCCACAGAAACTGACAGTACTAGTTAAACCAGACTAATAGTAGAAAGGAACTACATTAATTTAATTCTGTACCTAACCCGGATAATTCTGTACCTAACACAACAGCATATTTTCACATGGCAAGCAAATATAAACACTGCAAATTCAGTGATAATTCTATTAAGAGCATCGATTTTAACTGTGCTGTATCCTAAAGACTAAAATCTCTCAGAATGCTCAAAGTATTAGCTCTGGCATCACATGGAAGCAGCAACTCTTCATAAAATGAAGATTTAGTAATCCACTAAGGACACTAGGGCATGTTCTTTTTTCAAAAATCTACTTAAGTGATTACCAAATACATGGCTTACAGATAATAGCATGCCACATCCTTCTGATTTTTTCATGAAAAGCAACGCTGCCAATTTCTGGGAATAACGTTTAATCACTTCACATCTGAAGAAGTTAAAAAAAAACTTATTAAATCTGAAGATTCAATTTAGATGTTTTATATATTCTAAAAAAAATCTTGATTTTTAAATAAGAAATTTAAAAGCACAGTGACCCACAAATTTAGCAACATCTGATCAGTTTCATAAGCATTAGCTAAATTTCTCCAACAACCAGGCATTTTAATAAGAACGTTTAGTACAACATCACTGATTAATAATTACATATCTTTAGGATGTTCCTTTTACTGATTACATAGTTTATACTTTTATAATTAGTTTGACAGGTCCCAAAAGAACTTTCTAATACTAGAAAATAGTTTTGATTGTCAGATTTCATCATGCTGGTAATATTAATAGCCTGAGAACACCACATAATTACAACACCAAGTTCACCAGTTATATGTCCTCACCCTATTCTCCCTATCCCCAATTTATATTTAAGACAAACATTCTACACAAATTACTGACAATTCTCAAGTCTTTTTTAAACTGATTATCTAAAGCACTAACAATCTTATCTCTATTTTACTCTTTGGGGCCATATATAATTTTAAAAACTGCAGTCCATTAAGTGGGTGCGGTTAAGCCAATGCATATCCGACACATACATACACAAAAGACACACACCCATATCTTTCCCTTCCCTCTCCAGTCCTCTCCCTCACAAGTACCTACTCCCCCAGGAAAAATGTAAATATAAATCACTGAGATTAAAGCTCACCTAAGCTTTAGAATTATTTGTCTGGGAAATTAACACTTTCTACTGCCAAAAATGGAGTAGACAGTAGGGAATAAGGAATATTAACAAATATGGCTAAGGAAGGCAGTACTTTTTACTAGTTTTGGAACCTGATATACTAACTTTATTTTTTTACTCAAGCATTATGACTGCTCCAAATCCAAAGTAGTAATTCTTGATTAGAAAATATTCTGAAAGTTTAACTATAAGTTCCTTCACCTCTTCCAGACAATGCTGAAAGGCATATCATTGCTTTATATCTGAGCATAAAATCTACTTCAAAATATTTTCATATCTATAAAGCTGAGTTAGACTAAAAGGCATTTAAAAAATTCCATTATCACCAGTACCTAGAATTCCAGATTGTGAGGATTTTCTAGTTACACTGAGCTCACCACTGGGTTCGTTTTAAAACTGTCTTTTTCTAAAAACAACAACCATCCAGCTAAGCAAAAACTGTCATAACAGGATGCAATGAAGAAATAAAGGTACAATGTATTTTAAGGCAAGAATTCAATCATATTACTAGAGCTGGAAAAGCTAAATCAAAAGTGTCTATTTTTCTAAGACTCAGAGAATGTTATTCTGACATACCAATGTGATGCTGTCGAGTGGGAGAAGTAACATTTCTAATACATGGAGTGAGTTGTGACTCTGCTCTTTCATGGGATGAGTCACGGGATCTGTCGCTTGACCGTCGTCTATCTCTGGATCTCTCATGTCCACCACTAGCACCATGTAAACTCATTTTGGTGTGGTCTGCTCCTCCTTTAGCAACACGAGATGGAGTACTAAAAAAGAACATTATTCCATTATTAAAAGGTTAAAATTATTTAAGTCTTTAAAGAAAAAAAATTTAAGCAAACATAAAAGTTTCCAGATTCATAAACCAAATCTATTCAAAGCTGGGAAAAGCAGCTTTGAAATTCACAGATTCTTTAAACTATGGAGCACCTTGGAGTACACTTATCTAGTCCAGTTTTTAACTTAAAAAATTATTTCACTGAGGTCCAGAGAGAAAATGCACTTAACCAAGGTTAGAATATCTAGTCAATAAGTGAATCAAAATTAGAACAAGAATAAAATCAACCTGAGAGTCAAAGAAAATCTGGCTATGGTTGATCCATAATCTACTAGGCTGGCAGACCACTTAAGGCGGATCAGTTGGGAACTGACTGCTGAAGAACAACTAAAACAATGAAACAAATGAAAAAAATGAAAAGTACCTCTCAGTACCATTCAACTGAAATGTCTGCCTGATGCATTTCATTCATTCAATAAATGTCTGAGTATTTAAGATGTCAAAGCATATGGTGCTAGATGTTCAAAGAGCCACAAAGAAACCTAAGAAATAATGCTTGCTCTCATGAAGATCAAATCTAGTAGTTACTTACACACTGTACACAAATGACGACATATTACAAAATAGCAAATGTATGTTAACAAAGTTCAGTTGGTAGCTCAGAGTAAAGATCACTTCTAGCTTGTGAAGAAACAGCAAGAGGGAATCAGGAAAGGTTTGGTGGAAGAATTGACATTTTTTTTCTGGGCCTTGGAGAATGGGTAGTATTTAAAAAACTGATGGAAGTGCGAAGCATTTCAAAATTAGAAGCAGGGTAAATAAAGGCTCTAAGGCAGGAAAATTAAGTATGCATTTGGAGAAAAGGTGAGTAATACAGCATAGCATAATGGTAAAAATGATGCATCTGGAATCAGAAGACCTGGGTTCAAATTTTGCCTCTGACACTAGCTGCATAGTAACTATCAGGAGGGGTGCAGACCACATGGTCTCAAAGGTCCTTTCCAGCTTTAAATTTATGATCCTATGAACACAGTAGATCAAAATGTTCCTGAATGCCAGGTTCAAGAATCTGAACTTTATTTGTTATGCAGGAAGGCAATGAAGAGTAAAGTGACTGGCTGAAATGAAAGAAAACTAACCTGGCAATGATGAGTAGAAGAACTTGGAAAAGCGGGAAACAATGAGCACCCCAAATTAATCTGAAAGCTACTGCAATACTCCAATATAATTTTTCTTCTGGGGTTTTTTTTTGGGGGGGAGGGAAACAATTGGGGTTAAGTGATTTAAGTGACCCCAGGGTCACTCAGCCAGTAGTAATGGAATTCAGGTCCTTCTGACTCCTGGGCCAATGCTCTATCTATACCACCTAGCTGCCCCTCCAATATAACTTTTTAAAAATATTAAGTACCAAAGGTTGCACAAAGGATACGAAGAAAATATAAAAATTATTCCCTGACCTCAAAAAACTTAACATTTTACTAGGAGAACACAACATTTAAACACACACACACACACACACACACACACACACACACACACACACACACACACACACGTGATCACTGGAGAAGGCACTAATGATAAGGGGATTAGAAAAGGAGATGGTATCTGGCCTGAGCTTTGAAGGAAGCTAGAGATTCTGAAGGTAGAGGTGTGGAAGGAGGGTATTCATGGCATGGAGACAGCCTGTTCAGGCAACAACAAAAGGCTTATCTGTATGGAATAAAGTGCATTAAGTGGAGTAATTAAAAAAAAAACAACCTGGAATATACCAGCAATAAGTCTCACTGAACCAGTGTGGAAAGGATTTTAAATGCCAGAGTAGTAAATTCTGCATTCTTAGGTTTTGAGTAGGAGAATGACAAGTTCAGATTTGTCTTTTAGGAAGATTACTTTAGCAACTATATGGAAGACTGATTAAAAAAAGAGACTAGACACTTACATCTATTTAAGAGGGTACTACAATAATGCAGATGATAATAATAAGGTAATGACAGCCTGACCTAAGGTGGTGGTCATGTGAGGAGTGAGAACACAGAAGCAGAATTGATAGAACTTTGCAACTGACAGGATAAGAGAGGAGACAAAGAGGAAAGAGTTACGAATAATTCCCTATAAAGACACTAGTGTCCTCAATAGAAACAGGGAGATTCAGGAGGAATTGTTATGGTGGAGGAAGCCAATAGGATATGCTTTGGATGTGTTGAGACTGAGTTGCCTATCAAGCAGGGGTAAGATGTTAAAATATTTACCAAACACCCTGCTTGTAGGTCCTCCAGGTGGAGATATCAAGCAGACTAAGTTGATGAAAAGAGAAACTGGAGATCAAGAAAGACTGGGACTGTATATATACAACTGGGAGTCATCAACACGACATAACTGAATCCTTATAATTAGCAAGTTCACCAAGAGAATGAACATAAAGAGAAAAGAGGAGGTCCCAAACACAACATGATTTTCCTAAAGCATACACATAGATATCATATCACTTCTCTACTAAAAACCTCCAGTGGCTCCTTATCATCTGGAGGATCAAATGTACCTTCTCTTGCCTGGCCCTTAAAAAGCCTTCACAACTTTGTAGTCTTCTTACATTTCACTCCCCCAGTCATAAAGGCCTCCTCAATTTTCTACACATACCACAATGCACGTCCCTATCTTTGTGCCTCTAATTTCTTCAAGATCCAGCTTAAAAACCACCCTTTTCAGATCTTCTTTCCAGGTCCCACCATCTGCTAGAAAACCTCTCCTAAAAACTACCTTGTACTCATATTGTATAATCTATACATACATGCATGTGTTCACACTGTTTCGTCCATTAGAATTTAAGCTCCTTGAAAGCAGGGATTCTTTCACCCTTGTGTTTGTGCCCCAGGTCTCAGCATAATGTCTAGCACATAGTAAGTACTTAATAAACACTTATTGACATCCAACCCTAAAATCTGTGAATTCCTTGAGAGCAGGAACTGTCTTTTATCATTCTTTGTATCCCTAATGCTTAGCATATAATTGCACTTAAATATTGGACAGACTGACTACTGTTTGGCCCCTGGTTAAGGAGTAGGCCATGGATGATGAGGAAAGGAGGCTGATGAGTGGTAACATAGGAGGTGAAAAACTATTCCAAGTTTCCAATTATAATGCTGGTGAGATGGCTTTAGCAAATCAACACTTCCTCAGGGATTTATAAATTATAAGTCCTAGTCAAAAAATGTGGACATCAGTCAGGTAGGAACAGAGAGGGGTGGAGAGAGAAGAGTCAAGTAGTAAATCAATTTTGCTTTCTATATGGTGGTATCCAGAAGAGTCAGGGAACTGGTTGCTCTGATAAAATCTACATTACACTCAACAAGTATTTATATACCTACACAATACACCTAGCACTATGGTGAGAAAATAATATGGTATCCTTACCCTTAAGTAGTATAATCTCACTTGAGAGATTAGATATGTATACATGAAAATTAAATACCAATCAAATGAAGATAATAAGGCTCAGAAAAGTTAATGACTCGGCCAAAGTCAAGTTGGTAGCGTAACACCTGAAGGTTAGCAAAGCACCTGCTTTCTATATCTCATTTGAGCTTTACAATAACCTTATAAATTAAATTCTACAAATTTTATCTCCATTTTCAGGAAACTGAGACTCAGAGGAGAGAGGATGTGAGCTCTGGTTTCCTGACTTTTCTGTCCAATGATCTACTGTACATTCTGCTCTCTATCTCCACTTACTATAATAAATATTGCCAGGTCTCAAGATTATACTGATGGAGTACAAACTCTAGAAGGCCCTATGCCAAGGTAGAAAAGCTTCGAGTATTAGTCACTTACATGCCTGCCATCTGAGAAGCAGCCTGGCTCCATATGGGAAGCTTCACCACCAGAATGTAAGACAGTGAATTTTTCACCTGCATAACTCTCAATGACTGTCTACTAAGTCATGGAAGAGTTAAAAACTGAATCAGGGAAATAAGAGTACCTACAACAATGAATATATATGAAGTATTCTTATACATACAGTGGTATATAAGTAAATCCTTAAAAAGTACTTAATTATACTCATTACTGAAATTATGTTGATTACATGAGCAATTTTTAACGACTCAAGTCTTTTCAATTTTATAAAGTGCTTTAGAGTGCTCATTATTATATGAACTACGATATTGATGTATAAGGTATAAGTAATTGAACTAAGTATAAACACTGCCCCTAGAATATACGCCAGAGTTTTCTTTTTTGGAATACCTGATATCTGTTCTCTCATTTGCAATTTATCTCTTATAAAAATAGACATCCTTCCCCCCCAAAAAAAACCCCTGTTTATTTAACCTATTCAGGTGTTGTGAGTTCTAGATAAGAGTTGGCACTTACGTGTTTCACTTGAAATAGTAATTTTTGTTATATCTAAGTACCAAGTCACTGTGTATCTCTGTTTAAAAAAAAAAACCTGAGAGTAGGTACACTATGACTTTTACTTATCCATTTACTCAAGATTTAGCAAAAGAAGGAATAATATTAAGCAAAGTCAATGCAGGAATAATTTCTACAAATCTCTGCGCTGCCAGGTTTTAATACCACTAAACGGTAAGATCAAATGAGATGGATATTTGTGCTTTGGAAACCTTAAAGCATTATATAAGTGCTAGCTATTATTGTTGTTGTTAAGAAAGGACCCATTTTCTGTGTGTGAAGGTGATCATTTATTTCACGTAAGCACTACTGGCTAAGTTCAGCCATAATGTCCAATCTAGACAAGTGCCTAACGTGTTCACTGGTATGCCGCTCAATAAAGGCAAACAGATGAGTGGTAATGCCCGATCAGAAAAGGAGGTGAGCCAGTGCGGTGAAAGAGGAAAAGGATGGAAGTCCCAACGCTATAGTGGTAAACATAAAACACAAAAAGATACAGAGGACTGCTTCTACCAAATAGATGGATCCCCTATGTAGGTTCTATGGGAGAAGACAGGCAAGAATTGCACAGAATGAGAA